TGAGTAACAACGTTTGTTTTGTACTTTATTTAAATAATTAAATATATTTAGCTCTACAATAAAGTATTGAGCACTCTATATTATATCAAGAAGACTTAAATTGTTATATATATATATATATATATATATATATATATATATATATATATATATATATATATATATATATATATATATATATATATATATATATATATATATATAACAATTCAAGTCTTCTTGATATAATATAGAGTGCTCAATACTTTATTGTAGAGCTAAATATATAATTATTTAAATAAAGTACAAAACAAACGTTGTTACTCAGAGTTTCATGCCTGAGTTTACAGACAATCTTCGGACAACTAAAGTTCTGTTAACTAAATTTATATAAACCGTCAAATTTAGTTAACAGAACTTTAGTTGTCCGAAGATTGTCTGTAAACTCAGGCATGAAACTCTGAGTAACAACGTTTGTTTTGTACTTTATTTAAATAATTATATATATATATATATATATATATATATATATATATATATATATATATATATATATATATATATATATATATATATATATATATATATATATATATATATATATATATATATATATACAGCTAATTCAATAAAGGTTGTCCTTTGCAAACCTTAAACTCTAAAACCTTAAGCCTTAAACTCTAAGGGCGCAAAGCGTAATGGGAGCTCTATTTAAGCATTTTAGAAAGCATACATGGAGTCCATTTCTTAGAGACATGGTAAATATGTGCCTGCGAAAACATTTCACTCACAAACAGCTGCAATATTCAACTACAAAGCTTTAAATCAGTACTCCCATTATGCTTTGCGCGCTTAGAGTTTAAAGTTTAAGGTTTAGAGTTTAAGGTTTGCAAAGGACAACCTTTTTTGAATTAGCTGTATATATATATATATATATATATATATATATATATATATATATATATATATATATATATATATATATATATATATATATATATATATATATATATATATAAATTCCGCTGATCATTAATTAATTAAATTAATATATATTGCAAACTATAATATACGGCTTACAGGTAGAACAAAACTGTATATATGATTATGATGTAACCACCGTATTGAAATAAAATTTTTAATAATAATAATAATATATATAATTGTATTTTTCGCAACTGCTCCTGGTTAGTTCCAAGAAATCTATAAAATTTGCACTAGAAATTTCCATCTACAAAATTCTTCAACAAGTTTTTCAGAGTCGCACATAAAGATTTTAGTTAAAATTAAGGAAAACACATCAGACTAAACGTATTTGTCTTTACTAGTTGTACTTGTATAATTGTTATATTATGTACTAATATCTATGCATTTATATTGATACATCAGTGTATTCATGAGTAGGTTTATGCAAATTAAATCTTTTGTAATTATTTTATTATTTAATGTAAAAGCCATAGTATAAGCCGTCAAGCATAATTGTTATTTGACTTCTTTTCGCGCAAACAACATGCATCCCAGAGCTAACGGCGCGAAGCGCAAATCCGGGCAGCCAGTATAACTAATTTAATTCGCTCGGTTATTTCACCCGCGTGGGTGAACCTCCTACTGATCTCATGCTTAGATGAAATCTGTGATATCTGTCTAACTTTAGCGAGCATCTGGAAAATTCGTTGTCGCTTTGCAGAGAAATTTCTGGCGCACGTGATATTTTACAAAAATTCGAAAATTTGAAATAAGAACACGAGTAAAATTTCAACTTATGATTTTCCATTTTAAGACCGGGCAATAAAGGCAATTAAATCGAAGGAAGAACTTCACTAACTTCTCTGCGGTCCATCAACTATTTAAGGTTTGATTCTAAAAATGCTTGGACATATTCTAGTTCTGGGTAGATTATCATAATGCCCTTTTCTGAATTCTTTCGATATCTTTGATTTGCTCTTTTGTCAAATCATCTTTCCATACTTGGGCTCCATACACTAGGTGTCCCCAAAAAATCCCCAAAACTATGGAAATAACGTATTGTTAGAATTTGAATGTCTCAACACTCTGCTGAACCCACAAGTGCATCAAAGCTTGACACACAGGGTGTATAAATGTACTGTTAAATATTCGTTGCTCTGCAGTAAGCTGGTTCTGCAGTAAGCTGATTCGTTGCTCTGCAGTAAGTTATGCAGACTTGAATAATGCTTAATTTAAACATTTTTCTTTTAATGTTGTGTATTTGTTCATACAGATAGAAGTTATCCTGAATTCCCATGTGCAGAAAGTCTTGTGTTTTCACACATTCATTAATTCGAGAAATTATACGGCTGTCAAATTACTACAATAGATCACGTTTAATTTGAATTTGAAAGGGTGTACATTTTTTAATTTACAAGTCAATATTTGTAATTTACCCTGTCAACATTGTACGCATCTTTGCGTTCAGCTTAGGCAGCGTTTACACTGTACCGTTTTCGTAGCGTTCTCGTATTGTTCGAGAGAACTAGACTATTGTCTTGCGTTCCTTTGAGGATTAAGAACAATACGAGAACGCTACGAAAACGGTACAGTGTAAACGCTGCCTTAGTGTTAGGCAGGGGCGGACTGGCAGATCGGGCTGACCGGGCAAAAATTGGCCTAAATGTTATTTAAATAAATAGCTAGAAGCTCCAAATCGTAAGCATGAAAAGCGGTGGAGCACGCTTCAACTACTTTTCTCGCCCAACTAAGGGACCTCTGCGATCTTTTCTCCCCAGTATTTTTCATTCATATACAGCTATTTTAATTAAGGTTGTCCACGAGCAAAGCGCAAAAGTCGAATACGAGCGCGAAAGGCTGCTGGAAATCGCTTTGAAAGATTCCCAGCAGCCTTTCGCGCTCGTATTCGACTTTTCCGCTTTTCTCGTGGACAACCTTAATTGAAATAGCTGTATACACAAAAAGGTACTCATGCAGGGATGACTTTGGAGGCCATCAAAACGCAAGACGGGATAAGCGGACGTAATCAGCTGCAGAGACGCGTGATTAACTCGAAGATATTCTCGGGTTAGTGTGCAAATTTGCAATTTAAAGCAATCAAAAATATAGTCATACAGTAGAAGGGGCGACACTACATGTTGTATATATATATATTATAGGACCCGCGACTCGCGAAATTCTCTACTTATAATTTAACTTTGAAATCTGGGCAACTGGTCAAGTACAAGCAACGCAAAGAGAAAAAACTGCGTAGGAGATAGTTTTTATGATGCCGCGATTATGTCAGTACAGTACAGAGGTGTGCAAGCTCGGATAGGTGAACTTGCTAAGAACCACATCCACGTCTGGTGCTATGCGCACACCCTTAACCTCGTGCTCAGGGACACAACTTCTTCCGCGCTTCCTGCAACGAGCCTTTTCATGTTGCTTAATTCAACAGCCTCATTTTATCGCGGATCGCACAAACGAATGAATTAGTGGACTCAAAAATTGGAGCAGATAAGATTAAGAAGCTTAACACCATTGGAAATGCACATTGGTGGGCCAAATCGGGTGCAATTCAGAAAATCTTTGGGAAGTATGATGACGGAGAGACTGTAAACAATTCCTTATACGTATGTTTTGGTTTCGTGGTTAGAAATGTGTGCTCTTTAAACCGTCTACCAGAGACGAGGCAATAACTCTAATATAAGATAAAATGCTAAATTTTGAGACGATTTTAACGGCCACCATCTTCAATAGGATATTTTTAATTGCACTCTCCGAATGCCTCCAAATTGGCTAAGATCTTCTTCAAGCATGGAGAATGGTTCAATCTGCTATTGGAAAACTGGAAATGATCAGCAGAGATTTCCCAACTGTCCTGAATATCGCCACACAGTTCGCAAAGAAAGCCAAGAGCAAACGGGCTTCATTTGATACCGATGTTGCAGTAGAAGAAAGCCTACCATCCGAAGCGACGAAAAGAATTCCAAAAAGGAAGCTATATTTCTGTGAAAAGGATGACACTAGGACGTTGGATGCTCATGAGGACTATCAAGTGAATGTGTTCAATGTCGTAAAAGATCAAATTGTAACAAGTACCAATAGTAGATTTGAGAACCAGAAGAACTTTACCAAGATTTTTTCCTGTTTGGACCCTCGCCGATTCGATGAATTCAGAAGACAGAAGCTGCCTCAAAATGCACTTAGAAAGACTTTGAGGAAAAATTGTAAATCATGCAGACCCAATAGACCTTTCCGGTAATTACGTCACAACTACACTGTTTTCAACTTAGGACCACCTTAAATATAATGGAATAGATTTCAAATTTGTTTCTCATGGGCTATGGTCAGAGAAGCAGAACGTCCTTTTTCAACACTTGCACAAAAAAAATTTTTGGATTTTGACCAATAAATGTGGAAATAAGCTAAAACACGAAAACGAGACCGAGGGGCCAAGAGAGGTAAGCTTATTTCCACATTTAATAGTCATAAAAGCAGCGAATTGGTCTTGAATAAAAGGTATACAGCCATCTGCATTGTTGCAAATTTGCAACCTTTTATTGTTTTGTATTTTTGGCACATAAGAATCATTAACACAATAATCTTGTGCAGAAGATGGTTTTGAAACAGAAAGCTCATGCGTGCTGCAGAGTGTAAAGAGTCGGCTTATGATTTTAAAATTTCAATTTCTAATGACATTAATTCCGTCTAACTTTTCTATCAGAAGTATGGCATGAATTACAACAACAGCTAACTCTCGCCCTTATATAACATGTTCTTTTGCTCACTAAAAAATTTCTCTGCCTGGAATTGAGACATTTGACAGGTCGAATGAACAATATTATGCTTTGTCTTGGTTTGTCTTGGCTCTGTCCACTGCCTGCGAATCAGGACTTTCCATGTCGGGAATATTTATTAGGCTAATTCGCCACCGCTGCTGTCGGCTTTCCAATCTAAACTAAAGTGAGATATTGAGTCCCACTTTCAATATACACACTTGTCTCGTTTCAAACAATTTATACACACTTGTCCTGTTTCAAACACTTTATAGACACTTAATTGTCTCGTTTCAAACACTTTATACACACTTGTCTCGATCGTTTCAAACACTTTATACACACTTGTCTCGTTTCAAACACTTTATACACATTTGTCTCGTTGGGCATTCCCATGCATCCTTCTCTTGCAAAAGCAGAGAATTCTGCCAAGTATACCAAGTATCAACAAGTAAAGTCAGTTCGGTATTTGAACTATTAAACCTTTAGATGAATCCGGATGTTATTCACTCCTTCCCAAGAGGCCACAAAATACACTGTTTTCCCGAGGTCTCAGTAAATAAGTGTTTTATTAATATAGCAAGTATCAAAGTCTCAATAATTCACCTGGTATTCCGAAACTGTAATAAAACCGACCGGCAGACATGCTGAAACTCTTGAAAAAACTTTGCTTTAAACTTGCTGGTTAGCCTGGTTCACGCGAATAACTCGCGCCTCACTTCCTCACTAGTAAAAGACTCCAGTGATATATGCGTTTCGTATTTTTCTGGCATTTTTCAAGACGATTGGAACTGGCCAGAGTTTCACCTATTTATAAATCGGGGGATAAACTAGCCTGCGAACAGGCTCTTAAGCTGAATTGAGAGCCTGCATCGATGACTAATGAATTTGAGTATCTGCCCCGTAACGTTCGTTTTTCCAAATATGGAATGTATATCCTTATATGGTGTTGTTTACAACTTTCGTGCAAACTAACTAGATCGTGCAAACTAAATTTAGACCGTACAGTTTATACTGTTTTTCGAAATATAAGATATTGAAGCAAAAGTTCAATTCAAATGTTTTAAATACTATTTTCTCAAAACAGAACATTTCGTGCTTTGAGATAAGATGGTCATGCAAGGCCAATTTGATCAGTTAATGTGTTTTTTATGCATAGTGCTTCAGCAGTTGACATATATAGAGCTCAGCGGAAACATATAAATTATAGCATCTGACCAATGAGAATTTCGCGTCACGATTTGAGACGCAGATATTCAAATTCATTAGTCATCGATGCAGGCTCTCAATTCAGCTTGAGAGCCTATTCGCAGGCTAGGGATAAACAAGAGTGTGGTAATTATATCGCCCAATATCTGAATTATCAGGCATTGCGAAAATATTCAGTGAGAAATTAGTCTGTGGTCAACTCAATTGCTATTTCGAGGAAAAGCAGATTCTTACAAAATTTCAGTCTGGTCTTTAATTTACTCTCTATACAACCAACTCTTGGTTAGTAAACTTGGCTTTATTAACGGGGTCCTTTTCCTCGAACTCAAAAAAGCATTTGATACGGTTGACCACCATGCAGATCCTAGAAATGTGAATTATACGGAATCAAAAATAGTGCGTTAGCATGCATGGTTTTCTTCCTACTTACGCTGATGATATCAATTTATCGGTTGCTGGAGAAACATTATAGGATTGGGGATAATGAAATAAAACGAGTCAAAACTACGAAAAGTCTGGGAATTAGCCTTTCTCACGCCGCCATTTTTGGGGTACTTTTTTGCCAATTCTGCGAGCGTAACACCACGTAACGGCGACATTTTATAATTTTGTGGCTGTAATGATGGTAAATTTTCTCTGCAAATTGTTAATTTGTTCTGAAATATTGCTTTTCACATTGTTATAATCGTTCACGAAAAATTACAGTACCCCAAAAATGGCGGCGTGAGAAAGGCTAATTGTATTTTATGAAAATTTAGTATGAAGAGAATATTGACAATTTCAGCATTAAAGTGTCAAGGGCAAAGCGGTCATTCGCCGAGCAAAAAAATATGTTAATTAAACAAGATGCCTCAAAAATACGTAATGTATAATTCTCTAGTCCTCCCGTATTTTGACTATAGTTCAATTGTTTCGGGAATAATTGTAGCCAAACCGGCACTAACTGAAATGTTTCAGTTTTCCAACAATGATAACCATATAATTTAAAAAGTAACAACATAATGCTGAGGTTGGCTAAACCAAAAACTAATGCAATTAATGATATAATCGTTTATAGTTATGCCATCGGCGCCGCCAACATCTGGAACTCACAACTAGTATTTCAGAAAGAAATAAAGTAGTAATTAAATTAATTCAATTAATTGATAGGGCGGGTTATAGCGTATTAAATGTATTAGACGTATGATGTACTGTCCTGTAGGCTGTACCGTATTGATATTATATTGTAATTTTAGCGTAATCATACAGCCTTTGGAAAAGCAGCAAGAGATTAAATAAATCAGTGGATTAAACAATCTTAATTAAGCAACACAGAAAAGTCAATTTAGCTGTCGCGTTCACACTACTGACCAGAACGAAATTGTTTGAAAACTTAACTTTTGCAGTAACAATTTGAGCACAGTTTCTAAATGGAGCGAGATGAAACGGAGCGCTTGCATCGGCATGTGCGCTTCGTGCAT